ATCGAGTCCTAAATACATTATTCATGTATGACCGGACTTTGAACAAATATGAATTGATATTGAATTAAAATAGTGACTGATTGGGATTTAAATTGCATTAATGAGGTATTAAATGACAAGAATCTGAGGATTTAGTTTAAAAATCTCTTGAAGTGACACGACCGTGCACACCGTGTATGAAGTTACAAGACCGTGTAGTGGCGGTGTAAGATATTCTAATCCTTTACTCCATATCATCCCGTGGGTGTCGTAAGAGGTGACAGAGGGAAAGTGAGACAGGAGATGGGCAGCAGCATCTTCCTGATAACAATTCAAAATAATAAAAAGCTGCGCTTGACAACCCGCTCGCCGAGCGTCAATCTATGGGGGAGGGGGAGGCCTATGTTCAGCAGTGGACTTTTATACGCTGTGAGGAATGAATGAACAAAAGTTACACGCAGTCGAAACTATGATTTTGTATTAATAATAGGAACATACAAATGTGTATGGTCCACAAACCCGATACATCTAAAAGTTAGCAAAACTCTATGTACCTATTACTATTAAATTTAACTAGACGCTTTTTTTCACCGGACTTCAAGTTTTACGAAACACAAACGTACCTACACTATTAATTGCCACTAGCCCGGTCCTCGGCATCCATAAATGGTCGGTAGGAGATGGGCAGGTGTGCCGCGTGCCAGCTGTCACAGGCATTTTCTCTACAAGACAACACCTGTACACTGACAACCTTACCAATGATGTTACTATGTTATCAAAGTAATTGCCCCTTTTTATAAAAGTAGGTATAGCTATTTCTATAAAAAAGGGGCAATAGAACGGATGTCACTGACGTGACTTACTTTTTATTGAAGTCTGTTTTTTTTTATAAATTTGTATTAGCTGCGCATTTCGTCCACAGGTGTTTTGCAAACCACTGAAACCGTGTTAAACAAACCCTTGTGCTTAAAAATGACAAATATGTATGAAATAAAATCATGATTTTAGTACAAATATTATTATAAAATAAAAAATAAAAGCAAATCTTTGCATTTAGACCTTATAAAAGATTTCTAAAATTCATTACGTAATTCATTCATTAAATGAACTTTGGGTAGTAATAAAATTTATTTACAACCAAAAGTCCTCTGCAGTCACGTCCACGTCACAGTTTTGGATATTTTTGGTCTGGCGAACTCATCCGTATCGGAGAATCCATTATCATAATTCGTCCAGTGGTGTTGTAAAACCGTCCCGTCCCCCAGTCTACCGATCTTCGTATTGTATTGTAGACTATCTACAGAAGAAAGGGAAAAATAATTACTTTCAAACTTCTAGACCTAAATCATAAACAGCTGAACAAAAACAACGAATAACTTAAAATTATAAATCGACTTCAATAAGTAATGTGAAAAAGAATAAGGTGCGTAACGATCAGGGAAGTATTTAGCATAGGTACGGGAGATTTTTATCGATTTTGTTTATCATTTTATTGAAGAGTACTTTCCTTTCGTCTCAAACATCGGACAAATGCGATGATAAGTATCGATGTGCAAATTTGTATAAGCGGGTTTATGATTATAATTTTTTTTCAAATTATCCAGGCAGTCGCTCACAAAGTCATGCTGTATCCAAGCTTAATGTCAATGACATTACGAGCCGCACATACAAAGGATGGGTAGTTAATGACGTTGGCTATAATTAATGCCCCGATTCTCATAACTCAGGCTGTAATTAAATTAGCCGTGAATAACGTACCCGACGTGCCAGGCACGTCTCCGTTGTTTAGCATAATAATGATTTACCTGCAACAGAACAAAAAAAAATTAGTAAAAATTACTTAATCTAGATATTAATACGTGAGGAGAAAATATTTGTACCCCTACCTTTTAGCATAATGGGCACAGGGAGTGTGAAATTCGGCTTAGTTAAATTTTATATGGAGGAGTGCAGAAAGCTAAAATTTATATATTAATGTTACAAATATATGAAATAAGATAAATTCATTGACCTTCATAGTGTCAACTTCAAACCATAGACTTCCATGTGTCAAATATATTATAACAGTCTGGGGTCAAACCAGGTCAAATATTCGCGAAGAGCATAGAGTATAAAAGACTACGTTTTAGCACAAAGTAGATATTATTGCCAAAGGTTTTTAAACGTAGCCAACAAATAATTACTGACAAATTAAGTGCACGATCTATGAATTTTGTGCGATGTCAAATGTTCCTTTTTTAATAATCTGTGGAGTGAATGTCAAGCGGAAATAGGATTTATTTTATATTTTGTATTTGTATATAAGATATCAGTTGTGTTTTATACATAAAGGTGCATTTGAAAGTGAAATATAACTTGCTTTAATATAATATAGAACAACGATCGACTACTGGGAATATTTGTCATTTGGTGGTGGGCGTAAAAGAATTTATCCCTTTGGGTCCCGTGGGTGTTGAAAAAGGTGACTGGATAAAGCAAGAAATATCTTATGACTTTCCATAGATGGCGTTATTACCATCTCATGCAGCATGATTAAAAGCGCGAAAAGTCTGACAATGAAATCGTCGACCCAACCGCCATGCATGACGAGTCATGCACACGGATCATAAGATTTTTTAAAAATCGCATCGACAAACTAAAACTCCTTTAATTATCGAAATATCGAAAATCTGATGTATTAAAAAATATCAACAGTCCTAGTTTGAACTGATCAGTTGGAATGATCAGTTGAACTGACCGTGTGTGTCGTCCATAAGCAAAATCAGCAGCCTCCTGTGGCAGTGGATACGAATAAATTTTTAGTGTGTCTCTATTTTCATTCTTTAAAATATGTGCTCAACAGTACAAGTTCAACTTATATTGTGAAGACCCCTATCTCATCGAGTCTCTCCAAAGTTTTACATCCGACCGAATATCAGCCCCAAAAAATTCGCTTCTAGGCATGAACCTCTCTAATTGTAGGAAAGACCTGCCTTAATCACTATGTTTGGCAGTACCAGATGTAGCGCACTGAGGTCATAAGGACTTTTTAGTCTTTCCCTTTTTCTTAGTCGCTACATACTACACCCTCGGCACTAAATTTAGTAAATTCTCTTACATTGCCACCAGACATCGATGAGAATGCATTTCATCTATCGTATCATACCTCCCAATTTCTTTTCGTTCTTTAGTTTAATTCATCACAGTTTTTCATCGCAACATATATAAACTAAAATGATAATCCAATTATTATCTTTTAGTTTATTTCATTACAGTTTTACTTTATTATATTATATTATGCTAATACAGGTACATTTTTGTCAATGTTTAGTGCATTCCACAGAAAAGAAAAACATCCTGGGCGGCAGAAACAAGTTTCTTATCATTGACGGTGAGGGAATGTTTATTGTTTAATAAGCTAATCAAGGAGCGTCTTAATGTGGTTGGTCGGGGGCTCGGGGGTCATCGTACGCCCTTTGCCGACTCAGAGCGATGTACTGACCGCAAGGACAGGTAAGCCGTATATAGCTTATTTTTACCACTGGTGAGTATTTTCAGTGAGATCTTTAGGCTACGTTAAATAAAATCAACTTAATAACCACTAAAAAAGGTTCGTCCGTTTAAAAAACAGAAAGCTAAGTTTTTTTTTTAATATTTAACGCCGGTCGTGTCGTTAATACGGTGATTATGATAATATCACTATTAAGGAACAAAAAATGTTTATGACAGCTAAGGTTTAGTAATGTCTATTTTGGCATATATTTATGCAAATATATAATCATCTAATAAATGCAAACATTACAAATGAATGGAGTAAAATATAAGTAAGTAGTCACCCTTGAGGACGAAAATGAAAAGATTCACTCTGTAACTGTACTGGATAGCACTGCACTTCTACCTTTTAAACCCGAATACGATCTATACGCGGTAAAATCACGCTGCAGCTATATTATGGTTGTAGCACGAATGGGTCGGCTCAACCGGGGAAGGACCACGCTCTCACAGAATACCAGAGTAAAATAGCAGCTTAACTGCTTAATACTGCTGTATTTCGTATGGTGATTGTAGAGATCCAGAGACCCTTTTTTACTGGAAACGAGGCATTCCATCTAAGTCCTCAGAGGTGACAATGCATCTGCTTTTTGATTGTTAGTCGAGTATATAATATAGATGTCTAAGGGCCACAGCATCTACTTACCATCAGGTGGACTGAGTGCTCGTTTGTCACCCTTATTCTACAAAAAACCCACGACACTACTGCCTGGCAATACATCAGCTGCTAATAAGTGCGCTGAGATATTACAGGAAGATCAGGCAATAATTATTATATACAAGCATTTTTATAATCTGTATAAGGTTATTCAACTTGAATATTTATTTAACAGAGCCAGTATAATATTCACAGGCTATGAAGCATTTCATCTTAGTCCTTAGAATTGACACTGCATTTATGTAAGCCTTGTTTGATGTTGGCTGCTGGTATTCATAAATTGCAGTCACCACTTACCATCAGGTGGACGCAGGTTCATTTGTCGATTGTTAAATTGGACAAATTCCGCAACGATATTGTCTCGACTCTCGAGTTAGCTACTGTCACCGCTTCTAACTTCCGGCGTAGCTAGGTTTCCTAGCTGTACATAAGATTTACGATCGCCATGCTAGCACAACTTCAACGGTAAATAAAGGTCAGATATTTGCGGAAGAGTCGTATGATTGCACGTGCACTCTGCTGCTCGCTGTTCACACGCTTGCATCAATGCATCTTGTTCACAAAACAAGTTCCTCAAATACATATATTATTATACTAATATTTTTTTAATTCCACATTTTGTTGATTGAAAGTGCCGTGTCGTTGGCTATTGTTACATGAATATATTGAAGTGAATATTATTTCAGGCGTTTTAGGCGATTTTGGAATGGAAACCTAATAGATTTCGTGTCACCGACACGCTAATGTTAACAGCAAACACTATAAATATGACGTGTCGCGCTTATGATATATGTGTATCTGTTAAGTTGTATTAATAATTTGTGCTGGTTAATTATAAATTATTAGTAAATAAACTATATAAAAATGCTGATAAAACAGAAAAGCTCGAAGTGCCAATCGATAGATGTTCTTTTGGTAAGTTGTGTACATTTTTTAGGGTAACAAACACTTTTATGTATTTGTCTGATTGATCCCAACCATAACCATTAAGCTTTACTTGATATCGCTTTTCATGAACTGTAGCAGATGTAGTTGGTACAGGAGTAACTTCCATAGGGGTGACAGAGGATGTAGCACTATCCCTTAATTTGATCCATTCAGTTTCTAGTTTTCTCACTTCCACAGTTAAAAGGTCTTGAACTCTCTTACGTTTAGCTAACTTCAATATTTCATTTAATTCATCAATATCGTTTTTCAGCTCACTTATTTTTGCTTCTGACATTTTGATTAGCTTACTTCAAATTTTCAACACACAGAACTGAACTGACTGTATATAATACTTAACTTTGCTTGAATAGCTTATTTGAGAAAATTAGAAGACTCAAAATAAAACTTAGAGGCGGTGAATTTTTCACAAATTTACAATTTATATAATTTAAACTGTAAAAGCCGACGATTACAGGGGCCAAAATTCATGGGCATTCAATCCAAATCCATTTAAATTTAATCCAAAGTGAGAACCAAAGAATGTGAGAATGAATTTTCCACCTTTCAATATAGGCACAGTAGACCTTGGACTGTACTATATATTTACGGGACCACGGATACGGATTCTACTTCCTCTCTAAATCTGAAAAAACTGTGAATTGAATTTGTTTGATGATTCCTCAGATAACTCCATAAGAGTAAAATTGAGTAAAATGTGAAAACCGGACTATTGTTTATGATTTGAATTTACAAATTACGAAATTTTACCGGTACTACAATCAAAGTGAAATTCTACCCCTTTTACAAGTTTAATATGGAACATAGACCTGCCCTAACTTAGAATAATTTAAGTAACACTTAGAATCGATTAAAATAATTACTTTTAATAAATTAAAATTCTAACTCATATGTACTTTATATTGAAGTATTGCTGGCCACATAAAAGACTGTTGATACTGTGACTGCTGTGAAACAAAATAAACGTACCTAATAGATTAGAGCATCACTCCATTAAAACGTAGCATTGACTATATCAATCCCTAATCTAGAAAACAAATGAACACGATCTTAGTTCAAAGACCGTCCGGATTATACGCAGAAACTGCTCCCATTCATTCATTCGGTACCGGCAGTGAGCTGCTATCAATCATCGCGCACCCCCCCCCCCCGTTCCTTTTGCTTCCGACCCCGCGCCGCGCAATATTTCCAAGAGTACCCTTATCCAGCCGCGTCCGCTTATTTGCTGACATACAGATGTTCGACGAAATTTCTGGGGCCGTAATGAAATTTGGACATGCAATAGGAAGATAAATAATGTTATTTTTTTATACGCAACCTACAAAATTTTCTTGGTAGCAAAATAATTATAAAATTCCTAAATAAAACTTATTATACTGATTTTATCGTGTATAATTTTTACTAAAACCTTTATTTAATATTGATATTGGGTTTTTGTAATAATAATAAGATTTACATAACGTTTAGTAATATTGTATGAAACAACATTAAATGAGTTTTGTTTAAGTACTACACAAAAATATTTCAATTCTGAGTACTTCAGGTACCAGACTAATATAAGCAGGCTATAACTTCTGCTTAAAATATCCAAAAAGTTAGCCATTTTGAAATCTAAGAAATGTAATTTGTGCGTGAAACGCCATGTTTATCAAATCCGAAGTCTCAGTTACATAAATAATTGTGGTCCGTGATCGCGTGCGATTAACCCAGAGACCTTTGTACGTGGTATCGCGATCAGCTGAGCGCTGCTGGCGACCAGGGCCCGGCGCGCTGGCACCGACACGACCTACTTAGCCCCGATTGTTGTGCGACACTCACTCCAGTATCCATTTCGCTAAACGTTACATAAGGGAGTACATACATCGTATACAGTATGGAGGTGACGTGCGATAATTACTAAATTAGGCGTTGTTATTCCGAGTGTCGATTATATTATACACCGTGTAAAAGGCGGTAAGAATATCCACTATCCCACATAATCCCGGGGGAGGTCGTTAATGGCGACAGAGAGATACAAATCAGGAGATGGGCAGCAGCGCAGCGTCTTAAAATAAAAAGGATACTGCGGTTGCCAGGCCGCCTGCCAGTAGGAGTGGTAATCTAGGGGGAGAAGGGGGGGGAATCTATGTTCAGCAGTAGACGTATGATAGACTGTAACGATAAAGCTATTCGGGTAAACGGTATTAATATTTCTGCTGCAGATAACCAACGAATATTTTGAAGACACATCAAGTCAGCGAATCCATAACAAAGCAGTGTAGCAGAAGGTTGATATCCCTCAAAATTCGAAGCTTAAAAAGGCTTTTTTCTGGTCCGTACTAGACCAGGAAGAAATATGTACACAGCTTTTAGTAATTACTCTGATACGTTTCAGTGCACAATATGAATTTAAATTATATATTATATTATAACTGTACGTAATTATGATTTTTTTAGATTCTACTAAAATTTGTTTTTTATAGGATAGGGTGAAAAATGAGCACACAGTCTACTTGATGGTAAGTGGTTGCTGTGGCCCATATACATCTACATTTATCCTCGATTACGAATCAAAATACAGATGCGTTGTCACCCGTCAGGACTACGATGGAATACCTCGTTTCGAGTAAAAAGGGTCTCCGGTTCCCTACACTCATCATCCGAAACACAGAAGCATTAACCTACTATTATAAGCTGGTATTCTGTGAGAGCGTGGTCCTTCCCAGGTCGAACTGACCCATTCATGCTACAACTATTCTACTAATATAACTGCAGCATGGCTCTACCACGTAGATAGTAGATAGTACCACTTTGCAGAAACTGATAGTAGTATTAGTAGTGATGTCTATATAGTAGGTTAATAATAATTGAGGCCATCAATAGGAGACGATGAGAATCTATAAGTTTCTCGCGCTTTGACGTGTGTAAAACGACCGACACAGTAATTTATAATAACTGTGGATGAAAACACTTTCCTAGGCTTGTGAATAGACACATTTTTTGCACATTTGCATGTGAGTGTTAGGCATTGGAAATGATAACCCTTTCTCTGTCCCGTGGGACACACTATTCTGGGTCATTGCTATCGTCTTACTTTTGTGTTTACAAATCGAACAGTGAAAGTGTCTATCTAAATTTCATTAAATTAAATTCCAGAAACGTTTTGAAACCAAGTGGACTGTCCACTTGATGTTGAATACTGTGGCCCATTGACACCTACATCTATCCTCGACCTAGAATCAAAATGCAGACGTGTTGTCACCTCTGTGGACTAAAATGGAATGCCTCGTTACCAATGAAAGCTTCCGCGGTTCTTTACTCTCACCGTAAGAAGCACAACATAATTATGCTGCTATTTTACGCTGATATTCTGCAAGAAAGTATACCTTCCCCGGTCGAGTGAACCCGTCCTTACCGCAGTCATAATACGATACAACGTGGATCTAACTTCAGCGGATAACATGTTTATAATTGAGGCAACAATTTATTTTTACTTTTATTGACGAAGAACACATGGCAACCGGTGTTCAAATAACAATGTAAGATTATTCCTATCGGTGTCAGGTAGCCGCAATTAACCTAAATATGTAGGTCGCTGGCAATTCCTTGCTTGGAAGCAAACGGACAATGAGGCACGACTGATTTCCAAATTACGCAATTGTTTGTCTTTCAAGCCAAATGAGTTTTAATAATAAACACTGTGATGGAATACAAGATGGAGTACAATATCAACCAAAATCAACGTCACCATTACCATAATTGCAGCATCCACTCTTGATTGACGGTCGATCCTGAGTCGCCTAATTGCCTCGAGTTCTTTACGTGCACAGGGTCTCCCCTTCACATACAGATATAAAGATAAAAAAATAATTAAAGTCTCCGTTAATAGCCAAATGACATTAATTTAAAATGAATGTATGTACAATATACTAACTAATGTAACAATAACATTATTGAGCTGACAGGTTATTTTTAAGTCAATTATGATATGAATAACTATTTTTAAAATGTTTGTCTGTCTCTTTGTCCGGGCTAATCTTTGGAAGAGTTGAACTGTTTGTAATGATATGTTATCTAGGCTGCTTATAATTTAAAAATTTTATTTATTAATTTTAATCAATGTGTAGTGTTCGTGTAAATATAAGAAACCATTATTTAATCAAATCATGCTGATTTTTCAAAAAAAATCATGAGGCTTTTGATTTTCTTTGTATAATATTTTGAAATTCACATTCACGAGTTGTAAACATTTTTTGGCATAGTGGGATTAAAATTTTGCACCTGGCAACACAAAAAAACGACCAAACAATATTCGATATTTGTCACTTTATTCTTTGTATACTTTTGAAATTGTTGATATTTTTGTAAAATTACTTGCAAATTTTGATGATAACGAGTAACGCTTGAAGAAAAAAGGACCCAGTTTCGATAAACTTCATCGAAGTGTCAAACAAAGAAAGGGGAAAATCTGGCTGTCGACTTGAAATTCTTGATTAATTTTACTAAGTTTATGAGACTGACAGACCTCGTCGCTACAGTCTTTGTTGATTTTCCAAAGTTTATGTTCTTTACTACTGTACTACTGTAGTAGAATAATGGGAATAACATAAAACAATAAAAGATTTTAACATATTTTAAGCCAGTCTTATCTCATTTTCCGCCTATTACATTAATTTATGTTGATTTAAATCACTCTGATTTAAATCAACCAACCCTGGAAGTCAAAATATTTTTTAATCGTTTATCACCCCTTAACTTGGAATTTCGCGTTGTAAATATTTACCTATATTGCATATATAAAAACAACCGGTACATAAAGCTTTGGTATATGTTATGTTATTTGTTCGATCATTCCTAAGATTAGACCGCCCTGATAGACAGACATACAAAAATCTTACAAATGGTTATTCCCGTCTTAATGGCAAGCTAATATACCCCCTGAGCTCTAACAAAGGCAGGTATTCAGATATTACACACAGACACTTCAATTATATATAATTATATATAATGCTTTAAAAAGCTCCGGTATGCCGCCATACAAATAGTTATTCCGTTCGAAGTTATAGATGGTAGGAGTCCTTCTATGTACTTGTGCCAGCCTAGTTAGATACGACGTCCAACTATTTCTTCTACCGGAAAACAGTGCACCCACTGCTCCAGTCTATTGGATGAACAAGCCAGCACAATTACCGGCCGTGAGGTATTTTATGTGGAAAACAACACACTCTTTGTTTTATGTTAATAACAGCCAGCGGACAGTAGCCACTTACCATATGGTGGACTACAATTACCTTATTT